GAGGCAGACCGCCCCGACTCCGCAGCAGCAGGGAGGCCCCACACTCCAGACCGCAGTCGGACGGCCAACTCCTCCTAGCCCCCCCCACCCCAACAGGCAACACAGAACAGGGGTGAGAGAAGACTCCAAACCTCCCTCCACCCGCTCATATGTAGTGTTGATGCATGTGTGTTCTAAGGTGCAATTAAAACCCAGGAGGGCATGGAGCTACCTGCCAGAGAGCAGCAGGTAAGCACATAGCCCCTCCTGATAGCCCTCAATGTCTACGTGTATTTAAAATTGAGAGGTGGGCAACAGCGCCAGGGGTGAGGTGTACACCCTGACGGTCTTCTCGATGCCGTGTAGCGTGCCCACTGTTGGGGCTGTGTTTCCACAAGCCCCGCTGGTTCACAAACTTATTCTCGTTAACGACAAAAACAAGGCGAACATCTTTTACTTGCTAGCAAGGGAGGCCCCAGCTGGTGTCTCAGAAAGCACTCTGAATCCTACCGCGTGGGGGCCCTACCCCCACACCAATCACAACAGCGAAGGTGGGACCAAACTATGACCCCCCACCCCCACTAGGTGATGGAGCTGATCAAAGGAGCCCAGAGTAATTGATCTGATGAGGTGGCAGAGGCTGTATCAAGACTAATGTAATCTAATAGATAATTTCTATATTGGTTAGAATTAACCTCCTAGGACCTGCGTCCACATATGTGGACATCACATTTTGGGTTATTTAGACTAAAATACTCAATTGTGTTCTACAAGGGCCTGATATCCACTTAGGAGGACATTATACTGCCACTGTTCTATCAAAATTTTAAACAAATATCCTCATATGTGGCTCTCATTTCTCTTAGAAACAAAAATAAGGTTAAAAAAAATCTGGTAATTCTTTGTTTTTACATTCATCAAGTCCCAATGTGACCAAATATCAAAGAGAAATTAAAAATGCATGTCGTGGAAGAGTTCGAGTCTTTTCGAGTATTTTTCCAGTTCATGAGGACTGCTTTCTTGGCTATGCATAGGGCAGTGAAAACCATATGGGCGATATTCTTTTCTGAAGTGACATTATCTAAGCTGCCCAACAAACACACTAAGGGGGAAGTTGGAATGTTACATTTCAGACACTTCGATAAGTCTTCACATATCTCGCGCCAAAACTTAAAACGCAATCATAAACCACAAAAATTATGCAGTACAGCCTGGTTTGTTTATAAAGTCAACACCAAAGAAGAAAGTCAAAATCACTGAACCCTAAACTCAAATATGTAATCAAATACAAAAGCTTTTTTTTAACATTGTCTCCTTCAGCAGGAAGTGGTGGTGCGGTCCAATTATCCCTCTTTGTATTTAAGGGCTTTAAACCCTGGCCTCCACCTTTTGTCTGGTAACTCTCAGGGATCATGGCAGGTAAGCAGCAAGTAAAAGAAACAAAGCTTAGTCAAACAAAGTAATGAACTGGTATGAATACATAACCTAAATGTGCGCGCTTACAAAAAGAACAAATGTATCCAAACCAATCAATAAACTTATTGGAAACTAAAGTGTGTTCTTGTGTTCAAATGAAGAAATGAAAATACAAGAGTTACCGACTTTCGAGTGTGGCCGTGGGTTTGGCCATCACAGTTGGCAAATTGAAGCTTTGGTGTGAAAGCACAAGCTGCCAGCAGCACTGCAGTTAGATGAACGGTGTCATTAATAAAAGTGTTGATCATCCTGCACCCTGACACTCCTGTCTGTCTCAGGCTGTCCTCCACTCAAAATGTTAACAGCTCCTGTTGTGTTGGCTCCCCTAAGAAGTACCAGCTCTGTTCAAAGCAGGTATGATATTGATCCTTTACTGATTGATTACAATAAGGAAACGGTAGAAATAAGCATTGAAGCTTTTGTCTGTGTTTGTTCGTTTTGTGTATGTATTTGTTTTGTAGCCGTGTCCCAGCACCAGTGTTAGCTTCAAGCAGCACCAGTGTTCCCAGTTCAACTCTAAAGCCTTTGGAAGGAGATACTATCAGTGGATACCCCTGTACCCAGGTCAGCCTCATGTGTCAGTTCACTTTCATCATCTACGTTTGACGATGCAACAGTAGATACAACATGTGAAGATTGTGTATTTGACACGATGTAGCCAGTGCAATTTGTTGATGTTGTTAAAGAAATGCTTTCTTAAATGTGTCCTTCCCCATGTAGCCGATTACATCAGCATCTCCAATAGACCATGTGACCTGCAGTGTACCACCATCAGTGGTGAGCGACAGCTGCTGGTTCCTGCCCACGATGGCACCTCCTGTCGGGATACTAAAAACCATGGAGTGTGTATCGAGGGGATGTGTCAGGTAACCAACCAGAAAAAGTTCAGATGCTTTTTTACTGTAGAAAATCTTAATGAAATATTTTCAACATCATAGAAAATACACTCATTAGCTGCTTCGTTAGCTTGTACGCCGTGGTGTTCATTCAACAAGGCGCTCAGACTTTTTCGTCTACTTTGGCAGGATGGTACAGGTGCTGCAGCTTTGTGGTCAGCATTTTCATGATGTTCCACTACATCCCACAGCTGCTCTGTCAGACTCATTGTGCTCGTCATGCATGATGCTTTTAATTTACCGCCGTGATTTCTCAGGCAGTCTGAGATGATATGAGCTGTTTGGTTCGAGTATCTGTTAGAGGAGGGTAAACTCTGCAGAGGAGGACGCAGCTGCTGTCAGTACTGAGGCATGCTGGGAACAGCCTTCACCTTTCAACACATGGTTTCACTTCACTATAAAGAAGTTCTTTGTATGTTCTGCCGTCGCTGTAGTAGGGGGGGAGCTAAAGGAGCTGACATTCATGACCTTTCTTCTTGAACCCAGATGTGGGGCAGCTGACTGCCCTGTTGGGCTCCACGTCACCTTTCCTCCCCACTCTGACATGTGGTTGAACTCGGCTGTGTTTAAAAGTGTGCTTTAAAGAGCAAAACATGTGAACACCTTCACCCAATCACGTGGCTTGGAAGAATATATTTCCTGGTAGTAAAAATTCAAGTCAGGTGTTTCTGGTTGTTGTGAGAAAAAGCTGCATGAGTGTTGTCTCTGAAGAACAAACAGTGTCACATGTATGTGTATTATGTCTGCTCCTCTGTTCCAGCCTGTGGGGTGTGATGGGGAGCTGTACAGCAGTAAGACTGTAGACAGATGTGGTGTGTGTGGAGGAAACGGGACATCGTGCCAGCGGATCTCTGGATCCTACAGGAAGGCACTCACACAGTTAGGTAACACACACACACAGATAACCACATTCAACATATCTAACTGGCACAGGACGAGCATTTAGTGATTGTTTCACTCATCAGACAGCTCAAGGGAACCATTATCTTTACAACCACCTCAGTGAAATCCACTGCACGGTGTCCTATAAACATGTGTCGTCATAGAAGCCTGAAACCGGGGTGGATGACTCCATGATGTCTTGACCCCCTTCTGCTGGTTCGTTACTACGCTGCCCGCCAGCAGGACTCTCGAAGCGAGGGAAGCTTTTCCAACATATTTTTTAATGCCTTGATTTTGCCTGCAAGGAGCCAGACTTTGTAATCTTTTTTTAAAAATTGGTCTTGAACATTAATGTTCTTGAATTTATGAGTTTTTATTTGGACACGGGAATGTTTTTCAGTCAGTTAAATAACTTTACATTGATCCTGACATCATTCTGTTTCTACACATAACAGAAAACTTAGCAAAGAAGACATTTTAAATTGCATCTGTAGGCAATTTATTGCTAGCAACACATACACCAGTTTGTTCTTAGTTGGACCAATGAAAAATGTTGTTTGACAGCATGGTTTTGTACCAACACGGCTTCCCAAAGAGATATTGCCATGAAACTTGGCATATTGCAACATGGTGTAAAGTACGTTCTTAAAACATCAGAAGAAACAGGAGAAGTTAAGGACAAAAGAAGTGGCACACCTGAAATTCTACAGCAGATGAACAGTTATGTCCTTCAGTAATAAGGAAAATATCCAGCAAAGACCTGACAGGATCTGAGAAATGCATCTGACCCTTCGGCTGATTCATTTACTTTCCACAGAAGCCTCATTAGACGTGCTCTGAATGGAAGGACGGCTGTCAAGAAGCCACTGTTAAGGAACAGAAAGAGGGAGAACAGGCTGAAGTATGCCACATTAGAACTGGACTGGAAATCGCAGGCAACGTAACTCTTATGGAGTGATGGATCCAAACGGACTGGATCTAATCAGGGCCCTATTTCAGGAAGCCGGTTTAGAAAACTCAGAGTGAAAAACGATACTCGGGGTTGAGTAACCCCGAACTGTCCAACTCGGAATATTCGGTTTCAGAAAGGCTGATAACAAGTAGTTCAGTCAACGCGGAGTTGCTTTAACCCCAAGTTAAGCGCGCA